TTTTTTTTTTTTGACTCGTTATGCGATATTTCATAACCGATGATTGAAATTATTCGAACGGTATTTAGGCATTAACCGACCGTGATGTCGTTAACAGAAAATAAACATAAAAGTCGTCAAAAAATGGTACTTTATATGATCAGAATTGAAATATAAATTATTATTGTGGAAAATACTATAACTTTCAGTAAAATTTAAACATCTCATCATCTTATAACAATTAATAGAATATCGATATTTCGACGATCGATCGATGATTATCAAAATAATTTTAGTTCGATGTTATACAGTGATATATATGAGAGAGAGAGAGAGAATAACTAGAAAAAATCAGATAAACAATTATTTTACGAATTTTGAATTCAACGTTGGAACGATATATCAAATTAACGAAAAATATTTATATTTGAAGAATTCGACCGCGTCAAGTATTTTGGTAAGGATCATAATCGTTAGACGAAACACATATACAGGCTGAAAAAAATCGGCATGTATGTGTTGTAAATACTATATCGCGATGAGGGACGTGTGTTTAGTCATTTTCTCTTCGATCCGTGTAACAGCTTCGAGATTAGCGAGTCAAAGAGAGAGCAGGGTCATCGTGACGATACGCGTTATCAAGCTACTGCAAATAGAAGAAACCGGCGATCCGTAAATAACACTGGGACAGTCAACTTCGAATGGACTCGGAGGAGCAGTGGTGCGTCATTTTTTCGCTAACGGCTAGTTGGATTTATCGCGATCCGCGCTCCTTCCGCGAGCAGTAATAACACGCGCTTTACTTCTACATACTATAGATCGAAGCATAACAAGCTTTCTCTCTATCAGGTCCCTGCTTCGCGATCGTTCTCCATAGACCGGTCGAACGAATCCCCTACCTATCTTGGATCTAAGAGTTTTACGTCGATTCTCAACTACTTATTCCTCGTATATTACGAGACGCGGTTTGATCGTCGGAATATTTGTTGTATATTCGCGCGTGAAATAGAGTTACAAGAAATATATACGATACAATATTATATCACATCGGTATGCCGAGTTTGCCCGCTTTTCGTATAATCTCTTTATCATTGTTCAGATAAGAAACGTCTGAGAAAATAATAATTATTTGTCGAATCGTGACAAAGTTAAAGATTTTAATATACGCGATGTATATTTGTTTCTTAAACACCGGTATAGCAAAGATAAAAGGATTTCGGCCGATACGTTAAATCGTACTATAGGAAGAGATATTCGTAAGTGGAGAATTTTTGACCTATTTCCGTAGGAGTTTTGAGATGTTACTCTCGAGTGCTTGGTTCGAAGTAATCGCTGCAGTTCTTTTGACGATATTGATCTTCGTTACTAGCCATCGGCCAGCATGGTGGTTTTGGACAGCTACATCTCACGAAGCTACCGGTAAGTAAGATCTGTAAAAATATCGTTAGCGTTTCGTTTCACGCGTTGAAACGATATATAATTAAGATGAAAAAAATATAAAAAGCGTGCACTTGTTCATAGTATACATTATACATACAGTATGTAATTTTGCATCTGTGCGTAGTAGAATAGTGTTGATTTTTTTCGTTCGATGAAATGATAGATTCGAATACACAAGTTAGGCAAAAGAAAGAAGAGAAAAGAAAAGAAAAGAAGATGTTTCGTGTACGAACGACCTTGATTTCGAAACAGGGCGCGTTCACGTGCGTTCCCTTTCCAATTAAGCGTAAGCTCGAAATTCGTATGACGTGACCTTCTATCGACCTTGCGTGCCTTTTTTTTTTCGAAACCTCAAAGATTAACGTTTTTCCCCTTATACGAGAAATTATTATGTATAATAGCTCGATTCGTATAGAGAAAGTTAGATTATCCGTATCAAACGTTTTATATTTTTTTTTGCGTGATGGTTAACAGCACCAGCCGAGGGCAAGTTCAGAACGGTATCCAACATTCCAGGGCCGTTTTCTTTACCGATTTTTGGAACCAGATGGATATTCTCTTGCATCGGTTACTATAAATTGAACAAGATTCACGATGCTTACAAAGGTAAGAAATTTACCATTGGCATTAGCGTAGCGTTTCACTTAATCACGATATTTACGAAATTTCGACGAAATTTGAAATTTGAAATTTGCTACGTAGAATTAAAATTCAAACGCGTTACATATATTTTAAAATGGCGGATTATTTCTGATTCAAGAATAGATTTGAACCAACGATATGGCGCGTTGTGTAAAGAAGAAGCATTATGGAATTTTCCAATGATCTCTGTCTTCTCCCGTCAGGATATCGAGACAATCATCCGCCGTAACTCCAGGTATCCGCTTCGCCCCCCGCAAGAGGTGATATCTCATTATCGGCGGACACGCCGGGATCGTTACACGAATCTCGGTTTAGTCAACGAGTGAGTAGTAATTTTTCTCCGAATTTTCTCATAATTCGTTTAAGACACCGGAACCGGTCGACACGAACCGACGTATTATACAATTCGATAGACAAGGACAAACGTGGCACGATCTTCGGGTAGCTCTTACGTCGGAATTGACGGCTGCCAGTACCGTACTTGGCTTTTTCCCGGCCCTGAATATCGTCGCGGATTCGTTCATCGAGTTGATCCGGCGTCAAAGGGTCGGATACAAAGTGACAGGTTTCGAAGAGCTTGCCTATAAAATGGGATTGGAAAGTAAGATCCAACGATCGATCAACGGTTTATCGATTCTATCCCCGTTTTATCTCGGTCTCGGTCTAGGTACATGCACTTTGATCCTGGGTCGACATCTCGGTTTCTTGAAGCCAGACTCGAGTAGCGAGCTTGCGACGAGATTGGCGGAAGCTGTCAGGATACATTTCACCGCCTCGCGGGATGCCTTTTACGGATTGCCGCTTTGGAAATTGTTACCAACCTGTGCGTACAAACAGCTGATAGAGAGCGAGGACGCTATATACAAGTATGTTTGGACAGGTATCGAACGGACGGATTGAAAATTCGTTTACAATAAAGATTCGTTTTCAACAAATAATTTGTACAATATATATAACGATCCAATTTCAGTATAATTTCGGAGATCATCGAAACCACTATACTGGAGAAACAAGACGATGCCAAAGACGAGTCGGTCGAGGCCATTTTTCAATCCATTCTCAGACAAAAGAATCTCGATATACGCGACAAGAAAGCAGCCATTGTCGATTTCATAGCGGCTGGCATACACACGGTACACAAAACACTTATTCACTTTATTCCAAATTCGTGCATTTCTTACGATCACTCTTTTACGACCACTCGCCACAGCTTGGAAACACTTTGGTATTCCTGTTCCATTTGATCGGTCGTAATCCGGCCGTCCAAGTCAAACTATACGAAGAGACGCACGAGCTGGCACCGGCTGGTTGCGATTTGACCATCGACAATTTACGGAGGGCCAAGTATTTGCGCGCGTGCATCACCGAATCTCTACGGTGCGTAAACGTGACTCTAAACGCGTTTCTAATTCTCTTAAATCTTTAGTTTTAATCTTTTCCATCGCATCGCGTCCGTTCAGATTGATCCCAACGACAACCTGCATCGCACGCATCTTGGACGAATCCATCGAACTTAGCGGTTATCGTTTGACGGCGGGAGTAAGTAACAATTATGTAATCTTTTTCTAATTATTATTAATTATTCTTCCTCCCTTTCCTTTTATTCTGTATTTTATTCTGTATCTTTATTTCTATTACAGACCGTAGTCCTTTTACACACTTGGATAGCAGGTTTGAACGAGGAGAATTTCAAAGACGCGAAGAAATATTTGCCCGAGAGGTGGACGACACCTAGCGGCCCCCATTCGCCGTTATTAGTCGCACCTTTCGGCGCTGGAAGGAGAATATGTCCGGGCAAGCGATTCGTCGATCTCGCGTTGCAGCTTATCTTGGCAAAGGTTCTTCCGATTCATCCGTGGCATATCATATTGGATTCATTAGATATATATATTCAATTATTCTTTTTCCTTGCAGATTATACGGGAATTCGAGATCATCGTGGAGGAAGAGCTCGATTTGCAATTTGAATTTATTCTCGCGCCAAAAGGCCCGGTCTCCCTTGGTTTCCGTGATCGTTCTTGAAATTATTCGAAATCTATCGAAATCCTGGAAGTTTTAGCTTTATCTCGTTACCTAATTATTATTTTATGTTATTCGTAAATAATAATAATAATTCACTCGTTGTAAGTAAATTTTTTTCAAGACGAATTATTTATCGTATTGGATATGCTTATTTTATGCATTGTACAGAATTTACGAGGATAGAATAATCTAATTAATATTTAACT